TCAATATGACCCCAGAAAGTCCATGAGCAGTGCGGACATCAGGTGGAAGCCGCAGTAAGTGTGGGACTAGCGACAGGGTTTTTTTCTAGTCTGCCTCCGTTTCTCTGTCTGTACAATCTCTGCTGCCTGGAAGGCTGATGCACCATGCCTGAGGGATGTACTCCATCCGGAACGGTCCTGTGCAGCAGCCAATTACGTCGCTGTGTTGATGCCAACAGAATTGAGAGCAGTTTTGAGAGCGTCCTTATGGCGCATTTTCTCTCCTCCCTGGGACCTTTCTCTTACTGGAGCTCTCTTTGGAAGGCGATCCCATTAAGTCAGAACTACGGACCTGTCTCATTTGTCTGTCTGCCACGGAGTCCATATTTTTTTAAGTTCCATTATGTCTTCCTCTGTATCATTTCCCGTGAATCTTCGAAGATGATTGTTCCGGTTTCTTTCTTCTCAAAGTGTGGATGAAAATGTATGTTCTGATTATATATGTTGGATTTCAATTTGACAGTTTAGTTAAAAGTTAGCTGCGTTTCATTTACAAGATGCTGCAAAATATACCCCTGCATTTTGTTTGGGCTGTTTGTAAGTTCGCCAGGCAACTTTATGTTCCGCAGTGTGTCATTTCTGACTGGCACTGTGCAATAATTTTATATGACTTTCACATTTCCAGTGACGCCAGGAAAGCTTCTCCCGCTTTCTGAATTTGCTGTTCTAGACCCTTCCTAACTGCAAACAACCCCCCCCCCCCCCCCCCGAAAAAAATTCTTCCAGTTTTATGAAATGACACATTTCAAAGAGCTCCATTTTGGGTCACAGGTTTTCCGGTCGATGGGACTTTTACTGATATTCTTTCCATTTATCTAGATATTCACATTCAATAAACTGTATCTCTTCTGGCTATGAAAGCATGCGTGTTTATCAAGTTCTAATACATTACGACAGTGGTTCTCAATCTGTGTGACTTGCACAGGTCTTTATATAATCAATGCGTATGGCGGAGCTCCTGAGACCTACTGTTAGCAAAGGTTTACAAGTTAACGATATTTAGAAATAATGTTAAGAAGCAGATGAAAAATGCTGCAAACAGCACATGAATGAAAAAAGACAAAGAATAAAAATGAATGAATAAATAATTAAAAGGAAATATCTGTCCATAACGTAATTTCTAGTTCCTTTTTTTTTAAATTCTAATTGTTTTTTTTTTTTAAATCTTTAACTACATTCAATATTTATTTTTTAACCTCGAGTAGCCACAGAGCCACTGGGAAGTGCATGCGACAGAGCCGCTGAGACGTGCGCGTGAACTCCTTGGAGCTCTGCCGAGCACAGGCTGGGAACACCAGAATTATTGCCAAAGAGTTCTAGAAGGCAAGATTCTCGTTTCCCATGCTTTTAGAAATATCCAGAAATTAACAGTCTTACAGTACAGCCAGTGTTGCCACTTTGGATGTTTTACATCTAGATTTAGATGTTTAAAAATATATATTTTGACTCCGTTCTGGATGTTTTGTGTCAAAGAAAAGTGGCAACACCGAGTACAGGGGAGATGAGGAGTGCCTGGTCCACATAAGACCTATGAAATTATTTGGCCTAGTCCTCCCAAGGCAAGCGCAATTAAATAAATGGTTTAACAATAATGGAGGCTAATTTTTAATTAGACAATTTTGTATGGCGACGTGTATAAATATACAAACACCCCTGGCGGATCCACAAACACTTGGGAGGCATCAATTGGAAGGAAAATGCTAATCGCAGAGATGAATGGAGGCGGGTGATATCAAGGAGGGTGATATTTGCAGCAAAGAACATCAAATGCGCGATATGCTGAAGAAGAAAAGATGATGAAGACGAAAAACAGGAAGAAAACTAAAAAGAACCTAGAGTTGTCATGAATTTGCAAAGGTGCCACAATCGTGGGACAAAATCAAGATGCCTAACGCCACAATGGTTGGATTGCTAATTGGGCGAATTTGATGTTAATATTTTCATTATGTATTATACAGACAGACTAATAAGCAGATACTCTGACAGAATACAAATTTTTTTGGACAGACATAATCTTCTTCTTTTTTTTTTTTTCTGATGGTAAGCAACGGTATGCAGTCCAGCATTTTTTAAAGGCCTTTCTTTTCAGCACTAGTGTAATAAAAACTGTATATGCAAACCGGCAACTTTGATTAGACACCCTGTGGTAAGTACCACAACCTTATTTACTAGAATTGAAAGGGGGAAAAGGGACCTAGACAAACATAAATATAGACCAACTTAGAACGCATATCTTGAAATTGTAACAACAAACAGACCACATAACGCAGACGCAACTTACAAGTTGCACATACAAAACACACTTTAATATCATTAATAAAACAAGAGCTGGCATCCGATCAATAGATAACAGTCCCACAAGGGTTGAAATAACATCTGACAGACCCCCGTCCCAGATACCAGCAGAGATCAGATGCAGTGCTGATGACATCTGCCCAATCTCCATTTGTCCTGGTTCTGC